TTCACTTCTAATTTACATAACACTTCACTTCACTTCACTCCACTCACTCCACTCCACTCCACTCCACTCCACTCCACTCCACTCCACTCCACTCCACTCCACTCCACATCACTTCACTTTATAAGGCCCATGACGATAATAATTATGACAACAATAATAATAATAATAATAGTAATAGTAATAATAATAGTAGTAATAATAATAATAAAGTAATAATAATAATAATAATAATAATAATAACAATAAAGATAAATGTCTCAGTCAGTATCAGTTGGAGACCATTCAACAGCTACAAGAACACCAGAGGAAGATTATTGAGGGTCTGAGCCAAAATCTTCAGACGTTAGAAAAGTATATCAATTCTTCAATTCTCGAAGAACAACCCATGACCGTGAAGGATGCTTTGGGTTAAAGCATGGGAAACCCTTGATGCCCTGAGGAATGGATGGCACAATGCATCAGGCAAGAAGAGGGAGTTCTCAGAGACACTGAACTCCTTTACAAAAAGAGAAGACAAGGTAAAGCGAGGAAAAAGAGACTGAATGCACAGGAAAAAAGAGTGGTGCATAGTCCACCAGAGGAGACTAATGGAAAAGACAAGAAAAACAAAGGACAACTGGAACAGATGAACTGGGCAGATGAATCTATAGGAACATTTCAAACAATCTCGCTTCTGTGAGACAGCGTAAACAAAAACACGAAGAGCAAATTTGTTCAGAATGGCGGCAATAGATTCTTCTCCAATATACGATGACTAATTGTAAAACCGGTCCTCCTATCATTGTTCTGAATGGAGATTCTGTGAGATCCAAGTGAAATCACAAGCTGATTTCGGAAAAGTATATCCTGTTGAACCAGAAGGCCCCATTGTCAATTATTTAAGAGAAATGTGCTGGAATTATTGAAAATATTGAATTTTTAAACATCAAAACTGCCCAGATAATGTGCGGACTGAATGCAAGCCCTGATTGTAATCCAACCGTGTATCTGAAAAATTGTAAACTATAACTAGCCCCTTTTCTGAAAAGAATATTTAAACAATCATTAGAATCAGGGAAGTTGCCTCTGCATAGAAAAAAGCATCACATAAAGATAGGAGATAAAAACTACTGACCAATAAGTTTGACAAGCACAGTGAGTAAAGTTATGGAAAGGATGCTGTTGATTGCTTTTAGATCATGCATTTGAAAATATTAACCCCCAATAACAACACAGTTTCATTCCAGGAAGATCCACATCTACAAATTTCCTACAGTTGCTAGATGCATGGACAAAAGAATTGGATCACAAACAATCAGTTGACGTCATTTATCTAGATTATGCTAAAGCTTTCGATAAAGTACCACATAAACGTCTCATTCACACACTCTCATCTTAGAGTATAAAGGTAAACTATTGAGGTGAATTCAGGAATATTTATCGGGCAGAATATACACAAATCACAGATAGTACATGAATACCATCAGGTATACATATATGTATGATTATAATTAGAACATTGTTACCTCACGAAAGTGATTTATTATATAACTTCATTACACCGTTCGAAAGATATGTGTACAACAGCTTGTTGCTGCCACCATTAATAAATAAATAATCAATAAATAATAATAATAATAATAATAATAATAATAATGATAGTGTCTATTTTGTTCCATTTGCTCAAACTTTACGATATAATAACCGATCTGCAGGAAATTGTGATAAAAATGATTTCTACAAAATTATCTAGTTTCGCTTTAAAAGGCTCAAATTATTTTGGGACTTACCAGGAGTTTTCAATGAAGAATGTTTCTTGGTAGAAGGAGAAAATAAAGCATGCTGTGCATTTTGGAAAGATTTTCTCCTTGGCTTCAGTGGGCTTTGTATTTGAGCTGAATCTGGTGAAGGCCATTGGGAACTACTAGCTGAACTAGCATAACTAGTGGACCCTAAAACAAGACAAAAATCATATTATATGGAATAATTAGATTAATAGAAAGAAATATACTATAAAGACCAACTCTTAAAAAATTCCTATACACAAAAACATACTTCCTGAGCGAACTGAAGCAGGACTTCCTCCACCACGTTTCTCCAGAGAATGTGCAGGTGAGGAATGCCGTGATGATCGTTTCTGAGGTGAATACTAATCAACAAAAAAATTAAGTATCACTATTGAATATTACCAAAATTTACAGCACAAAGTATTCAAAAACAAAAATATGACCCAATCTTATACGTGGCCTCAGATTCTTTCAGTGTGTTCTTTCACAATATTTAACAGAATATATTTGAAATAAATGTCTTTTAATGTCTGTGTTAGAGTTGTGAACTGCAAAATCATACATCTCTGTTCTTCTGTTTCACGGTTAACATTGGAGATAGCAGTAACTTTCGAATTTGGGAAGTATTTGCTCAGAAAATATTTACTTATTCTTTTCATTGGGTGGATATAGAATGCACACATGTTTCTGTCAATGTGAACTTTTTCATTTAATTTCGTGGAAAACTCAGATTTGAACTCCCAGAGGATCAAACACAGTCCACACAGCGTCATTGATCTTGTAACGTGAATCATGTAACACAAACTTGACAATGATTTTTATTCATTTTCAAACTTTTACTTCATACACAGTCACCCGCTTTTGATCCCTCCCTTTACCACTCCATTTTAAAATATTGCTCTGAATTGCCCAGCAAAATTGTGGTGGATGTCAAGAATACGATCACAAATATAATTACATACTATAGATATGCATGGTATTTTTATTGTCTTTGAAGCTTAATGTTATGTCAAGTTACGACATGGAAAGGCAACGTAAAAACGTAAGTCCTAACTGACTAGGCTTAATCTGTGAATATAAAATGATTTTTGAAATCAAATAAAATGATTGATGAAAAAATATAAATATTTCTTGAAAAGAGATTTAGAAGACCTTGTCTTAGATTTAAAGGACCTTGTCTTAAATTTGGAAAAATACAGTATATGTGTATTATATTTGGGTATTTCTATTTCAAATTATCGCACTACATAATTAGTTAACATAGTTGAACGTAGGGGGGGAAAACAGCACTCGCAACGGGGTGAGGGAAGAGGTCATGAGAGGGGACTGTGCGCTGAGCGGCAGTCTGTTAAATAGCGAGTGTGAGTCGGCGGAGAGGCAAGGCCATGGAGTGAGCTATTTTGGCGCGTGTGCGATACCCTTGTACCTTTGCTGATTAAATAACTTACGCTCTTTTCTTTAATCCAACCAAGTGTTTGCTTCTTTTGAGTGACGCCATCCCGATATCCCGAAAAGGTTCAAGTTGGAGAGACATCAAAGTTAACATATGAATGTTCACGTAGAGAAAGGAGAGACAGAGGACTATGAGAGAAATCTTAAATTTCTCACTACTTACTCCACTTACTGAAGCCTTTGATGATTGAGAAGGTGATCTATCCATCATTTGTCTCTTTTCCTGCAAGCGTGCTGATGAGCGAACATGAGAGCTTCCAGTTGTGTATCCTGAAGCTACTGATTCTCCATCACTCTCTTCCCCACTTTGGTCTGAAGAAAGCTGACTAAATGAAAATAAAAGGACATAATGTAACAAACCCAACTAAAACACATCTGATTAACGATTTTGATCACAAAAAATACCTACCTGCCATGGAATTCCCGTCGAACTGCTTTGGTTGATTCCATACTACGCTCCATAAGATTTTTCTGATATCGAGTTAACCGTCGAGCAGTTGCATATTGCTCAATTTCATGTGGATTTATATTCTGAGCTTTTCCCTGCAAAACATAACACCAGACATATTGTTCTCGTGCAGTCCTTTTGTAATTTTTTTATTTTTGCCAAATTCACAGTGACCGAAATAAGAAGATGAAGCAACAAATTGTTCTTTTCAAAAAGTTTTTTTGTGAATTTTACAAAAAATAAAGACATACCCAAGAACAGTACTCAATTTCAAAATGAAATAAATTTCTGCTTTAAGCCCCACTCTTCACTAGTAACTTATTACTGCCAACAAAATTAGATTTGACATTATATTTAGAAATTACTTAGATGATAAAGAAACATTTTAAAATCAAAACTAAATGAGTACTTAAATGAATGAGGTGACTTAGATATTACTGAATATGTTATGGATGATATGAGAGAAATTTGAAGTATTTTGTAAACATTACCTCTTCTCTGATTTCCTCAGTTGTTTCAACAGCATCATTTTCCTCTGCAATATCCTCATTAACTCTTTGAAATTTCCTCACTTCCAGCCTTTCAGGACTTGAAGGAGAAGAGCTTCTCTTTCTTTTATGGGACATATCAAGAATAACAGTCGATCTACTACTAATCGAGACAGGTGAATCTACTCTATCATCACTGTGACTATTACGTAATACTCGACTCTTGCCCAATGAACTTGTTTGACTATCTCCTGATTCAGAATGTTTTCTTGGCCTTAAATTCCTCACAGATGTGGGTAAATTTTCTGATTTGGAATGTTGGCTAATTTCTTGATCGTCACCTACACATGACTCCATCTCTGGTTCTTCTTTAACACATGGAAGTTTGGGAGCTGGAATCCGTAACACATATGAAGACTTTCTACTTTTCTTCTTTGATAATCCTCTCCTGGACTTTGAATTTCTTAATTGCTTAATTTTGGTAACATCACATAATTGTGGAGGCTCACTCTGAACTGAGCAGTCATCTGAATCAGAGGAATTTCCACTATTCACATTTTTTTTTTTGCTTCTTGTATTTGGAATTTCACGATCCACTGAACATGCTCTACGAGATCTAAGATTCATTCTAATTTCTTCTACCACAGGTACAAATGATGTGGATGGTTGCGGATCTTCCGTGGGCTTCACAACCAATGGGACATTTTCTGCAATAGAAGTATTTGACAAAGACAAATCATGTAAACTTTTATACTCTTTATGAAATGATTTCTCATTTTCAGGTTTCTGAGCTTGCTCTCCTTTTCCTAAAGGCATTTCAGCTTCAGAATTTGATTGACAGCTTTTCCTGGTTACAGGAGTCAAGTTTCCCGCAGATATTTCAAAACCTTTGTTTTCTGACAACCCACTGTCCATTTCACTATTTTCATTCTGTGCAGAGTTCCGCAGTCTTCTTGATTTCAACAATTCTGGATCCTTAAGATTCCTTTGATTGACAGTTTCCCCTTCTTTCACTGAAGCTTCAAACGTTTGAGAAGGCTCACGCTGGACTGAACTTGACTGAGGACGTAGTCTACTTCTTGGAGTAGAAATTTCATTCACAGCTTCAATCATATCTTTACTTTCAACTGCAGGTTCCATTTGAAGAGAACTTTGTTTGACTATATGTTCAGAATGTTCTTGGACACACTCATTTATATCTTTGACACTGCTCCCTTCAGTAACTTGCAAAAGTTCACTTTGAACAGATTTTGACCATTGTCTTCTAGTTTTGGAGGCATGCACATCATCCATACTATGAGCTTCCGTTTTAAAATCCGTAGCAACTCCACTACCTGTTTGTTGAGCTTCAGTATCTTGGTCTTTGATTCGATGTTCTATTTCAGATACATCAGCCATTTGAGTGGGTTCATTTAAAATGGTACTAAACAGTTTTCTTCTTCTTCTGGTGTTGGGAGTAGACATTTCCTCTAATTCAGTAACCTCGTTTTTTCTTGGACTGGCAAACTTATCACTCATTCCAAAGGATTCAACTGGAAGAGAACTCCTTCGTGTTCTAGACCTAATATTGTCTGAAGGTTGTGAAATTTCCTTTTTCTGATATTTATCTTCTAACACATCAGCCATTAGGGGAGGTTCACTCTGAACAGAGCTTGACTTCCTTCTATGCCTAGACTTGCTGACTGTTAGACTTGAATATGATTCTTCTAATACAGTTTCATTTTTATTTTCTAATGTTTCAGCTTCTCCTTCAGAAGATTCAATTTGAAGAGATCTTCTTCGTGTTCTAGGTCTCATTTTTTCAGAATATTTTTGTGAAATTTCCTTACCTTGATGGACAGTCTCTAACATATTAGCCATTCGAGAAGGCACATTCTCAACAGAACTTTTTCGACTCCTTTGATGGGATCTCAAAGAATAGTGATCTTCCAAGGTTTCAGAATTCAGTTTTGATTCCTGATTTTCTGACATTGTAACATCTGGTAGGGCAACACCATCCATGGAAGACTGAACTCCCACAACTGATGTTATTTCTACTTCATTTGAATGTTGCAATTGCTGACTTTCCACACTACAATCCCAGTTTTTATATTTATCAACCTGAGATTGGGCCGTTAGATTAACAATTTTAGAGCCAACTGAATGATCAGTGGAGGGAATGTTTGACATAGAATGACTGTCATCAACGTGTGTGCTACCTTCAAATTCAACATTTTGTGCCAAGCTCACTGGCATTTCTGTTTCAAGTGTGGTATGGTCTGAAGTAAGTGCTTTTTCTAACTGATTCTCAGTTTTTATAGTTGTCTGTAGCAATACTTGATGTCCTTCTGTTGTTAGTGCCTGGTCTTCAATTCCTTCCCTGTCACATTGGCTCACATCATTTTCACTGTCTGAAAGTTTCAAAACTATATCTTCTTCATCAGCATTTTCATTCCAATCCATGGCTTCAGAGTAAGCATTATTCTTATTACTTTCTCTTTGACTTTCACATTTTTTCCCCATGGAAGATTGTTTCAACATACAAGTTTCCTGGTCTACTTCACCTATATCTTGCCCCTTCACAGGCTCCTCAATACATTCAGAATCCAAAACATCACTCTCAACTGCACCTCCATATGAATATTCCATATTTTTGGTAGGTTTGGAAACATCTTCATTATATGAACCTTTCAGTGCATTTTTTGATTCGTGACTCATAATTGAGTGTTGTAAATTATCCTTCTCTGATACATTTTTGTCTTCAACTGTAGCTAAGGTATCACCTAAAAGGGAATCAAAAAAATCTATTGTAAGTAATTTAAATCAGGTAATAAGCATACATTAACAATAAAAATACTAATTAGAGATGGGTTTCTACATGCCAATATTTGTTTTGATGTAACCTTACTAAAACTTCTCAAACTTTGTAAAAATGTGTTGCATGTTTTTTTGTTTTTTGTTTTTTAAGAAATTCATGGGTAATGCACATTTATATACCCTATTCACCCGAAATTAAGACAAGCTTTTTTCCGAAATATCTCAGTCAAGTTCTTAGCAAGTATCTGTGCGCCAGCTGGCTGATCAACTGACCACAAAGAGATACATAGATAAACTGGGTCCATGCTGCAATGGTACCCCAAGCAAATTACAGGAAATTCCTATGAAGGGCTATGCAGATGAGTAAATATTGTTCTGTCTCTGCAAGTATAAAATTGTGGAATGGCAAACTTCTTCCTTTAAGACATCTTATTATACCTAGTGTCATTAAAAAGTAATTTTTGACACACAAAATTTTTTTTTTTTACACAAACTCAACAATGGTTTTTTGTAAAGGTGTACCACAAGGGGTTTTAAAATGGTACAAATGAGAGCAAGTGTGAGAAGAAATAAAGAAGCAAAAGAAGAAGAGAGAAAAGGAGGGGAAAAAAAGTAAGCATTCCCAGCAAGTTTTGACAAGAAAATTTTCTACAGAATATTAGATCCTTAAGTCCATTTTAATTAAAAATTGGTATATACTCATTAGTTATTGTCTGCAAAAGTTACACACAAATTCGCTAATCATGTTTGTATTATTCCCTCGCCCATTTAAATAACTCATTATGTTCCTCTCATGACCACTTTGCAGTCAGTTGTAGAATGAAACACTACTTTGTATAGGGATATCATATTTAAGATCAATCATACAACAGGTTTATCAAAGAAAGGTCTTACCTGCTGTAAAAAAATCTTGTTCCATCAAATTTGTATTATCCTCTGCCCGTCTCTTCTCAATACCTTTTGCAAAATCAACACACTGATTACCAACTGTACATCCATTTTCCATTCCTACAAATGTTTCATCAGACTCTTGCACATTTGTGGCAGTTCTTGTGTAAATCACACCCATTGGATCAATTTGATGTTCCACTAAAATTACAGTTGACAAGTTTCCATGACCTTCACTGGAATTATGAAGAACAGAAACTCCTTGGTTTACATCTTGATGGTGAGGCAACATTTCCTGGTAGGAGGACTGTTGCGTTATGACTGTTGTGAAAGAAGCATATATTTTGCCACTATCGTCTTGATCTTTTTCACCAACATCTTCACATTTATTTTCCTGGTTGCCACTATCGTCTTGATCTTTTTGAACAAAATCTTCACATTTATTTTCCTGTTGGTAGCATCCTTGCGTAGTATTTCTAGAAATGTTACTAAAACAAACATCCAATTCTTCTTGAAATGTTTTTTGACTTTTTATATCTGTAGAATCTGATATTACTAGCGCTTCACTTTCTACAGAAGAGCATGAACTGGATCCTTTACCTTTGGGTTCTTCGACAATTTCTACATCTGTATCATCTAACACTACACTGTCCACACTGCTCTTGTCATCACTAATGTTGATACTGTCATCTTCAACATCCACAGGTCCCTCTTTTCCTTCTGTTTCTAAATCAATTTCAATTTTTGTATCATCTGTGAGGACATCTTTTTCAATAATTTTTGTAGTCTCCAAAGAACTAGACTTAACTGTTTGAAAAATAAAACTAGAGCTTTCATGATTACTTGATTTTCTTACTCTGGTAAGAGGTAGTCGACCCTTTACTTGCTGAATTTTTCCAATAGAACTTACTTCACTTTGTTGGGGTGTTTCAACTCTCACTTCTGGAGTATTATTAACAAATGAATAATCACTTTCTTCAATATTATAACTGGAAGCTGATGCATTTGTGCTACTACTGCTGCTACTAATATTTATGCAAGTATCACCTAAAATACTTTTCTTTGAGGCCACACAGCTTATGTTACTATTTTCTTCACTGTCTTCACTTACACTGCTATCAACATCTTCATCATTATCAACTTTAGATCTTTGAGTTTTCATTTTGATTTCTGATACAGAATCCTTATGTGAAAAGTTACTCTTAAATTTGGTACCTTGCTCAGCATCTTGTGGAGAATATTTCATTCTTTCGTTTTGTTTGCCATTGTCAGATAAATTATCTTGAAAACTGACCTTTACCCGAGAGAGTCGTCTTCGAGGCTTTATTTCTTTTATTTCACGAATGTATTTTCCACGATTGTATAGAGGTGAAGATTCAACATTACATGAATTGATATTAGAACTATCTTTTGATGTTCCAGAGTCACTACTCGTTGCACTATAAAAGGATTCCTCCCCCAGGCTTTCATTCAACATGCAAACACGGTCGTTCATTACTTCACCATCCAATTCAGAATTAGAATTTTCAATAAGTGAATTTCCGGATCCAAATACATAGACATCCTCTTCAGAAACCATCTTTTTTGCAGGACTTCCCAACCTCTGAGATTTCTTTTCAGAAACATCATCACATGATATTTTCTGAGAAACCTCAACAACTGTTTTTTGTAATAAGGACAATGAACTTCGAAGTGGTAACCTTGAAGTTGCATCTACAATACGTTTCGGTGTTTTGATTCTGCAATTCAGAAAGGTGTACAATTTATTTAATATATTTTTCAATTAACACTAATTTTTAGATATAAAAAAGAAAATAAAGATTATTTTCTCACTTCTCTGAAATATCAGGAGTTGAGCTTGACAGAGGTTGTTCTTGAACTTCATTTGACACAGGAAGACTAAAACGAATCTGTCGAGAGCATACTTTCTCTTCTAGTGGAAAAGGAGAAAATCAGAAACAAAAATATAAACCACTTTCAAAATGCTAGTAGGGTAAGACAGTATGTTTAACAAGAAATTCAGTTTTTTTTTCATGATGGCTAAATGAGTGTCTTTTACACAATTATTATTTTGATGCTCTCCGTTATTAATACATGCAATAAAAATTAAATTTTTTCATATATGTGACCAACATTTAATTTACATTTGCCCAATACATAAGTTTCACAAAGATTGAAGGTTTATGAATGAAAAAATTCCTTCCATATAAACTGGTTGAATTTGATTGATGTTCACTATTGAGTACATGTTTCAAGGAACACAAACTCCAATTTTGGATTAAATTTAAAAATACTTAAAAAATTGTCTTCATCCCATGAAGGATATTTTCTAAAGTGTACAGTTCATTTAGGCAAGAGACTAATTATTTTGTCACTCCTTCCAGCCTACTTAAATTGAGGAGGGGATGGGAGACTGACTGTACTGTGTCAAAATGCTTCATAATTATTTGCAAACTTATCCTGGGGCTGTGATACACCATTCTACTAATTGAGAAAGGGTCACATGAAAAGTATTTATTTTGATGGAATTCAAGTAAAGGACGCTTCAAAACTCATGTCAGAAAAATTAGATGTAAGATATGATTGATGAAACATTTTACTCATCTGATTTTCAACTTCATTTCATTCATTCTTACCGTATTCTTTTTACAGATGATATTAGAAGAAACTAAATCTCTCATGAAACTCTCCCTAATTAGTGAAGGCTCTCGGCTGTCTGAGTGATGCTGCACTGACGGCAATAATGCTTACGTTTCAACCATCATATCATTGGCAATGAAATTAGAATTGGAATTGAAAAAGCCAAGATACACATTAGAAAGGACCAGTGGTGGCCCAGGCGGTTCAGAGAAGCCTTAGATTACCAAACATCCCCACAACATCAACAACAAGCTGCAATTCCATGATGCTTGGCAATCAGTGCTGTAAAGAATGGAAAACCACTCCTTAGAACTGTTCTTTTCTGACCAATCCTGGATCACCCTACACCATCCGAACAGATTGTTCCATGCCGTCCAATCCCAGACAGTACCAGACAGTCTGATCTCTGATTGGCTGACTAACTGGACAACCAAAATATTAAGCCTGGCACAGCCACAGAGTATAAAAACCCAAGCACTCCAACCTTGAAGAAGACCACGACAATCAAAATGCTGCCTTCAATGCCCTCGACACAGCATCCAGACAGCTGAGAGCTTTGACAGAACACTGGCTACAGGAGCCTCTGATTGCATCTCCCTAACAGACCCAGTCAGACCTAGTTCATTTCATTTGAATGGCAGAAGAGTACACTTTGTAGGGCAATGTGGTTTTTTACTGATGCTCACAAGTTTTAGAATGACAAAAAAAATCAGTCACTGTCCTAAAAATACTATACTTTCCTAGGAAAACTCCTGCTGATCAACTTAAAATCACCATGACAAGAGCTAATGAGAGAGAACATATAAAAGCTTCACAATTGCAGTAAGGTTTTAGTAAGAAGTATTCCTGTAAAATTGCATTTTGAAGATCAACCAGACCAATAATGGCAGTAGGATTGCAATGAATTAATATTAATACTAAAAAATATGAAATAACAATTCTGTTCTTAAAATGCAATCGTCTTCATGCAAATGTTGCAATTTAAAAATGTAAGTACTCAATTACATCAAAAATATATTTAAACAAACAGACATTTGTAAAATGGTAACTTCTATTTTATGACACAACACAGACTTAACTCTCAAAATTAAAAAGGCAAGTACTAATGATATCAACTAAAGCTGAAGCAATTTCAATACCCTTATTATTGATGAAAATTAACACAAAAGTGACGTTCAAATATTGCATATTTAGTTTTGAAATTATAATAAAAATAAAATTACCATTATGTTTCACTTTAGAGTGTTCTCTAGACAATAAATCATCTTCATGTCCTCTAGAATGTTCAGGAGAAACAGAACTTCGCACCAAATTGCGTACCTGCACCAAAACATTTTATTTGTAAGTAATAAAGCAAATTAAAAACCGTATCATCTGGTCACATCTTACCTTAAGAATAGATTGGGGGGTAAAAGTTTCTGCAAATGGTCTTAAAACATTAATCTCTTGAGTGGAGGAGGCACTGAATTGTTTCATGGGTGTAACTCTCTTCACAAGAGGGGTTTTCAATAAACCAGAACTACTGACTGAATGGTCATGTACACTCTTCCTGAACAAGAAATACGTTTATAAACACAAATGCAACAAAATTATACAGTCTACAGTCAACTAACAGCAAGCATTATTAATAGAGAAACAATAGCGATGCAGTAGACTAATTAAGAATGTATTCCTCAGCCACAGATAGTTTTCAAAATTTCCAAATAAAAAAAATGCATCATTAATTATTCTTTATCTTATAATATTTAATTCATTTATCTGAATAAATTGACCATGAACATCGTTATTAATTTTAGAAATTGATTAGTAGTAGTAGTAATTATATTTTCGTTCATTGAAATAATGCTGTACATGCACAAACTCATAGAAATCATCCAAAAGCTGCATTTACTTGGTTTTTGGAAAGAAATTATCCACCGGAGAACTATTTTCCAAACGAGACCTCTTCAAGGGAGAAGACGCTGGTATACCACCATCATCGTCTATACGCCTCTTGATTGAACTGGTCACAGAAGGGAAAACTACTGGAGTAGTTTCTCTGAAATATTTCCATACATATTAAAATCATTTTGTGCAGAGCATAAAATGTTCCAACAGTAAAATTATTGTTACAATCAGAATGACGCTACTATCAATGTTTTTAAGTATTTACTGACATGAAACAATATGAATTATTTTAACTTTTACACCATAACAGTAATGTCCCTTCAATGCATTTTACTCTATTATAAACATTTAATTGAAAAAATAAGCAAAACAAACAAACCTGTCATGCCTAAAAGAATCATGTGAGGTGCACAAAAACGGTAAATTCTGCATGGCTGAAACGTCCATGATTTCTTTCCTTGCTTCTGAATTGAATGGGGAATGAACTGGCATCATCCATGTCTCACGAGCTTTCTCCAGGGTAGCATGAATTAGGGAAGATTTATATGACACTGCTTGTTTAGTCCCATAATTTACATCAACTGACATAGGAGAAGGTCGTTGCACTGTAATGAATATTACTATATACAGTAAATAGTATAAAGGTGTGTTTGTAATCAATTTTTTAATTTAAATTATAACAGATTCTTCATTCTTAATTTATTAATCAATTAATTAATTTATCGTGTGCTATAAGAATGGAAGAAGCAACAAGACTACTAACTCCTCATGACCAATGCACATATACAACCTATTCAATAAAAATTAGTTATATACAAGTTAAATATAAAAATTATTTTCTCTTCGTAATCAACTTACCCTGTCTCCAATTAGAAAGCAATTTCTTCTGTTGAGAGCAGTAATTTGCTAACTGCCGCGTAACACTGGGCAATGTCTTAGCATAACCTCCAACCAGCATATCACGCACTGTTTCATTACGTGGACGTCGGGACCCTATTTTGCGAATTCCAGAAAAGTTTATTCTTTCATTCACTGCAACAGCTTCTATAACTCTGGAAATATAACATGAAAATATTAGCACACATGAGTAACATCTTAAATCTGAACACACCAGACTATCCAATCTCAAATTGTAATACGTAATTAAATAAGCTAATGTTCTTGACTAGAGCACCTCACGTATAGTGAGGAATGTACACACGTCACCACACCAGCACCCACCATGACTACTAATGGTCATGCAATGGGCGGTGAAAAGAGAATATTTCCTATGACTAAGTTAAGTAAAACTATCTTCCAGTAAGGGTCCACAGTTAATTGAACATGATATATACTTGCTTAGGGAAGTATAGTTATTACATGCCAAAATTGATATGTTAGTTATTAATTTCCCTTATTTATTTATTTATTTATTTTCCCCTTTCATATTTCCTATCCAGTTAGTATTGTAAAATTGAAAGGTCCAATGACTAAGTTGTAGTAGAAAGAGACATACCCAACAAGGAACCAAATATGAACATGAACAATAAAATTACAAAAAACAGATTTGACAATGACATGAATAATATAATAATATACTGTATAGTATATTATTATGTAATATAATAATATACTGTAATGCCATAGCATCTGGTGACATGCGTCAACGTATCGGTCCTGTGAAACAGTCCTAAAGGACTTGCTGCATATAGTGAGAATATCAGTGCTAACTCTTCCACCCGATGTGCCTATGCCTGGACCACGTGTCTTCTAAGTAACAAGTGATGTACTTCAATTTCCATTCTCGATCAGGTTTTTGTCCAGTTTTCATGATCCACAGAGCAAACAATGAGATGGCTCCTTGTTTTGCTTCTGGACATAAACATGGCTACACCATTTGCTAGAAGTGGTAGGAGTAGAGCTGGAGGATGTTACTAATTTGCTAGCAAGACAAAAATAAAATAAAATAAAATCTGCAGTTTGTTTACTGATGTAAATATGTTTTCTATAGCTTGGGAGCAAAAATATCTAGTTTTTGAAAGTTTCTAATTTTGCTTCTCCAGGAGTGGAGTGTGCTAATGTAAAAATATTGAGTTTTTGTTTTGCTCATATTTCTCTCCCTTGAGTCCTCTGAAAAACATAAGTGAAGTTTTACTCTATAAAGAATCCTGCATGGGATAACTTCACCTAAATTAATTTTTGAACCAGGGGAATAGTTTATATATCTCAAAGGAAATATTACAATTTTAAGCAGTATAAGAGATGTATCTATTATTAGTATTATTATTAAATAAAGGACAGAAAGAAATAATCAGAAAAATGGTTTCAATGGCTCCCAAATACGAGGCAAGGAAATATGTATATAAATTATTATTTTCTTTATTTAGTTAATCCACAGGACAGTGTTAATTTCAGTGGCTTATACGCTTGGGGCGGAGATTTATGAATTAAAGTATTAGATAAAGATAGACAAATTAATCCAAGGAAAACAGTTTCAGTTGAGACAATTAGATTTTTAAGTGTTGGCAAGAGTTGGAACGAGCAGCTCCATAGTGTGGGGTTACGGCACACAGTAAGTAAAAAGTGAAACTTGAGACGCAGTCTTCACAAGCTTGTTGTAAACCAAGCTATACCATTTGAAGAATGTCTTCCTGTTCTTCCTGATATTCTCATTCAGATGAAAGCCAAGCACTCAGTAATTTTCCATATTTATGAAATGCCCTTAACACTGTGGTAAACATTATTCAATCCAGAATTCTCAAATAGGAAACTGTTGACGGCATAATTCTGTAGCAGCTGTGGCACTACCATTGAAAAAGACGTACACATACATCATATCTGCATATTTTTCACTTGTGAAGGTGTAGAGCATTTTGTACAACACTCTTAGAATGAAGTACCAACAATCATAACCGACATTTCATGGAGTAAGATGATTCAGAAAGTGGCGCTACACAGTGGAAGGAAAGGATATTATTGGACACCAAATCCAAAATACAGTACAGTAAAGTGGCTGTCGCGGATACCCTTTTGAACGAGTCATGTTAATATGAAGGTTTTCGCTCACAGTGATTGATATTGTGGCCTCCCAAAATACTGATGTTTACTCCTGGGACACCTGAACTGCAACTGAATGTTATTCACATGAACAATAAATAACACAAGATTTTAGACTTTTTTCAGTGCAAAGATGCTGTTTTTGCATTTTCCTCAAACTTGCCAAAAGTGAAGTTGGCCAATTTGAAAGTCAGCCCTTTTTCGCCCCAACACAAGTACTCCATACATTAATGCACCATAATAAATAATTGAAGACATTACCTAGAACGCATTAAGTAGAAAACAACTTGCATATCTTCCGATTGTGAAATATTACAGCTTTGCAAATAGTTCATTAACAAATCTTCTTCTCCAGGTGAAAGCATCAATTTTAAAACCGTCCCCAATTGTTGAGCTTTTCCACATTCTAGAAAATAGTAAAATACAGACTCAAAAACAGCACAATAATTCAGATAATATTGTATTAATGAGAAACTTACCTCGATAAAAATGTACCAAAAGCTCTTTGTTGTTTTCTTCATTATGATATTGTTGTAGAAAATTATATGCCTGTGTTACTTGTTTGTTCATTACTAATAACGTTATTTTCAACCTGCAATATAAAGATGTTGAAGAGAAAAATCATGATTTTTAAATTAAAATCAGTTTTCAATTTAAATAAATTTTTATTAATACTATTTAACTCAACATTAAATTAACTATATTATTTGCATATACATGTAATTCATTAAATTCATCACATTTTGAAACTCTAATATTAATAAGCAGATAATAAACATCCATAGGTGTGAGAGAAAAGACAGAGATCTTGTTCTATTTGTTAGGTATGTTTTTAATAAGTAACTGAACCTAAGTAAAAATTTTGTACATTTGTGCATATGAAAGGATACTGAAATACACTACTTTCTTTTTAATTACATTCCATTCTCCAACAATAATTTAAAGTTTTAAAAGATGGCTTTATAAAATAATAACTGATGTTTTGCACTACTGTAGCACACTATTTGTAATTAACATCAGTGGAGCGCCAACAGAGGGATCATTGAGCTTCTTCCCCTGGCATGGCTGAGAAATGCATCAACTGGTCTCATGACCTCAACCATCAACAAGGCAAGCTCCTTCAGGGATCAAATACACTGTCTCCATTACTCTATGTTTTTGTGTAATGGGAAGTGAAAAAAATACATTTTCACAGCAAACTTTTATAACAGCTACAACACCACATACTGTCTCGTTTTACTTGCAGCACATTATTCTGACAAACAAAGAATTTCACGTATAAATTAAACATTCAGACTAAGGGTCAGCCAATATATCACTTTATAAATGCATATGAAACTATGATATCGTTACGTAATGTCCAGCTTATGCATATCTGTATATATACTTTCACAGACTTCCATAAAGTTGAATGTACCATGTTATTGAACATGGAGGCATTGTAACATTAATGTTAAGCCTGTTTTATCTTGATTCTCTCCTATCCATGTCACCGCCTAAGCAAGAAATACTTGGAATAACTTCTCAAATATCCCTTGCTGGATTGTATGGTAACCCTGCTAATCATGGTAATTCCAAATTATAAGAAAAGTTCATACAAAATTATGGTATTCTAGTTTTTCAATTTTTCTTTCGTAATACATTTAAATTGTATTTCAAAGAGAGAAAAACCTCATTGGGCTAATTTTAATTAAGGTTTGTAGATTCATTGAAAGAAAATACATCAACACATGAGAATACAATAAAAATCGAATTAATATTCGGATGATCAATAGTATATTACTAAGGACAAACTCATTAATTATTTTTCGTATCCTCATTCATTCCTGATCTCCTAGAATTTTGCTCATAGCTATAAATATTTGGTAGAATTTAGAATGGTCTCTAGGTCCTGAATGAAATGTTCAAAGCAATAAATATTGCAAATTAATCACTTTCATATTACACTCTTTGAGCAAATGAGAAAGCACATTCTTCCTGGCAATGTCTGTAATGCTTGCAACATTACAACTTAATGTAGATCTAAGTTTTTGAACCTAATGTTCTATGATTTGTAATTTTAAGTTAGGTAATTTATTAAAATATTTACAATTAAGGTAAACAACGAGAATGAATTTTCAGAACATCGAACCGCCTCCAAGCACCACCCAACATACTTTAAAATTTGAATTTACCATTATGAATTTTTTTCCAAAAAATGACCTTATTTAAAGATCTGATTTTGATGAAAATATTTCATTAAGAAAAACGTTAATCTTCATAATTGTGGTTGTAGGAAGACACCAAAAAATGTTTCAAGTTTAGCAATTTTTGAAAAATTAGGGATTTTAACTAAAGTAACAACAGAACAATGCATTAAGTGTCCTGTACAGAACCTAGAGTTAAAATTTCAAACAAAAATTTGGTACCTTTTTTGAGAAAAAAGGAGTTAGAAAAAAATTTCCTTTATTTCATGTAAAATTAAGCTACAATTCCTCAAATTTTCAAATTATTGTACATGATCTCATTTCAAAAGCTGTCATTACAAAAACCTGTTTAATTCTGGAAAACTCTCTTGTATCCTTTTTATGGCTATGTCTATTTTCAGGTATCAAGAACCCACAAAATATGTATTCTGATAACTCAATATGTCAGAAGAAGTAATTTAGTAAAGTAGGGACAAGATTTATACACTTTTACATTATGAGGGCCCGGCAATTCAAGTTTTTTCTGTGGAAAATTCAGTTTTCCCCCCACAACATTACCATACATTGTCTATGTTGCGTACACAGAAGTGAGAAAGTAAAAACTAGCATAACACACAAGTTAAAATTATTATTACTATTAGGATAAAAGGGAGGGGGGGCTCCTGGTTAAGCAGACCTGAAATACTTCAGCCTTCCGGGTGTTTCTGCATGATCCTTTTCTTTCTTCTTGGTTTTAATATATCTTTGTCCAAAAGACTTATATTTTATGTCAGCCTTTGAGAATCTTCCTTCTTTCATTCTTTTAATATGTTCCAGCCATTTTTTCTGGTACTTTTTAACTTCCTGTTGTGTTTATTTGTCTTCAATCTTTACCTTATGTCTTTATTTCTCAAAATGCTCTAAAATGCAATATTTCTGAACTATGCAAGATAATAGGGTGCTGAAGTGTATTGTGGGTTGTCGTATGATGCACCTGGACTATATTACTATATATACATTATATAAATTTACTTTAATATTGAATTGAATTGCATTCATGCCTTATTTTACATGGCAAGTCTCAGGCCATGCGGCCTGCTCTTCTATCTGACTACGCAAATCTTCCTATGTCCCTTTCACCTAGTAGCCAAGAAAGGTGGCATTTCTTGAACAAGCAGTGTGTTATTTTAGCTCGGAAGCTACATTTAGGCGTGAGCAACTTTTACATTAAGTAAATCTACTAGGATAGGACAGCCAGCTTTACTTCCCCGATGAAAGAAGGCATATGAAGGATTTTTTCACCCTCAAAATTCACTTCTTCGATTGGATTTGAACAAACTTGAGTATAACAGTCCAATACGCAAATCTTTAAATCATTGCTGCCACTAATATTAAGTCATTGCAAAATTAGATAAAGCTACAAGATATTACTAGGGGTGGATTTTGATGACCTAAAACATTGCCAAAAATGATCAATAAAATGATCTTGAAGTGCTTTAAAAATGCTGTATAAACAAAGAAAAATGACAGAAAAAAATTGATCAAAACCACTTCAGTTGAACAACTCAGCTGTTGGATATGTTACTGATGTAATCAAGGCTTCTTCCATTTGTTCAAGTGAACTCAACTTTAAAACATTTGGTTTGGTTTGGACTGTTCTTTAAAAGAAAATCCTTGCCTTTATTTATTGCAAAATCAACTGTATTGACAATGGCACCGATATATCACAGGAACATTGAATTACATAGTACTCACAACAGCTGACATTCCAATATATAAGCGAAGAAATACAATAGGATACTCAGGAATTCTGGGGTGAACATTTGTTGCATCTTGTAAATATTGTTTAAAGCAAGTACCATTAAAATTATATTAAAATCAATGAAAAATGCATAGAAATTATGAAAACCGTAAAAAAACCAGAAAAGACTTATTAGTCAAAATTGATGAAAAATGCACAAAAAATACATATAAAGATGGGTCATTTTGATTTGTTTTAATATATAAGAGAGATTTTCCAGGTTGGTATACTGTGATTCTTAAATATCAACTAGACCATTGCCTACCAGCTCGAAAAATTTATTTTAAAATGTAAAACTGTTGCCTTTTCTATGTCAAGGTCACTGATCGAGCGGGATTACACATACAATCAACACGTTGTGTCTGAAGAGAGATCTTGGAGTTGTTTGATTTTAAAATGTCTTTTTGGTGACCATATGAATTATATAGTCAGCAATGTCAATCAGACACTTGGATTTATTACAAGACCATATCAAGACTGGAGTTCTTCACAGTTTTGCATACCCCGTATCTTATGCTAGAGACACTCATTCTCATGCACTTATCAATTTTTTGGTCAACATGCTTTTTAAAACAAATTTCTAGACTTGAAACAGTGCAACACAAGTTCTTCAGACTTTCTGCTTCTACTTTGGGTGGGAAGGATCTTTTTATGAAGCATCAAAAAATAGGATTGCTTTAAAATTGAAAATTCTTAAACTGAAAACATATAAAGTCTGTCAAAGTACATTTTTTGTTTAAACACTGTAAAATTGATTGCTCCCTTTTGTTAAATGGATTGAGTGTGCCCCAAATTAATTCTAGAAACCATTCACAGAAACAATGCAGAAAAGATTGTTCACCTCTAACAATCCAAGTAGCAGAATTTGTAAAATTGCTGATGGTGTTGACATTTTGGTTTTTGAAAAGGTTGCGAAGAGCTCACTTTTTGAATATGGCAGTGTTAGCTCCATTTGTTAATCACGTCATTAAAATTGATTGTTATATTTATAAGTGATTACATCATAAAGGATGTAGAATTTTCATTGTTTGCAGATTATTTCAAATTGTATAGAAGTATCATGTTCTTTGAGGTTTTGATTTTACAAAATGCAATTAATGCTCTTTATCTGTGATAACGTCATGTTCCTGAAAGCAAAGAAATGTAAAAAGTTGACATTATCAAGATTTAGAAATGATACTGTCCACACCCGTACTATTGAAGGTGTTGACTTGATATATGATTAAGGATCTTGGAGTGATAATCAATTCTCAAATGAGCTTCAATTATCAAAATGATATAATAATTAGCAAGGCTTTCCAACAACTAGGCTATATTAAAAGAATTTGTCGATTATAATGTCTATGAACATTCCCCCCCCCCCCTTTCCATGTTTTGGCGTATTTAATCTTTTTGTTAATCATATTTACTGTTCTATCATGTTATTTAATATTCCTTCCTAAAATTTTCATGTAAACTAGTTAATTATAAATTTGGTTGCCCTCATTTGTTACAATATATAAAATTCAAGGTTCCTAACAGGAATACAAGATCAAATTCTGTGTTTACTGAAAACTTTAGTTCTTCCTACTAACTCAATAATTCATTAAATAAATGCCTAATTTTTTTCAATAATTTAATACAGAT